GTTCACAGGCGGTCAATTATGTACCAAACTGAAACAAAAACAATTACTTGCTCAATCATTCTTCCGGAGTTTAGAATTTAGTTGACCGTGAAAAAAAACTTCAAAGATCGATACGAAACAACTCTTCAAAACTATTTAATCGATTGAGCAAAAAGAAAGACGGAAAAGATTTAAATGGGGGTTAATCCCAAAAAAAAAACAAAAAAAGTGCAGAAATAAAACTTTGCATGAGAAGACCCGGAGGGCCGTTAAAGAATCATTTGGTTGGAAGACTCCGACCGAGAGGAAAACGTGTTTGGTCTAAGATGGCAGGGAGAAAGAACGACGACCACATATGTCTGCATGACATCTTCGAAAACGACCACGATAACAACTAAACTACAGACACCCTCATCTCCGGAAACACTCCACTCCAAACGGAAATCGCAGACGCAAGACACTTTTTCCGAAATTAGTTTCCAAAGAAATGACTTCAAAGGCGACTCAAACAAAAGCCTCAGAAGAGCAACGACATGTAGAAGGAACAAACAAAACTGCGCGAGAGGAAAAAGAAACGATTCCAACAAAGGTATCCGCCACACGATCAAATGACGAGACACAGCTAGGCGAAATCGGAAACCAAACGGAACTTACCTTGAAATGAATAAACAATTATATTAATGTGTAAGCAGATTCGATCCCACACATTACCGTCCGGAAGAAACAACCCGAGAAGAAAACCACCAACACTGATGATGCACACAGGAATGTGCAACTACAACAGCAGCTCAAAGCAAGCCATGAGCCGGTTAAAAGTGACATTATCGCCTTGATGGATCAATGCACCAATACAGAATCGGATGAGGAAAATTCTAGAGAAAAGCTGGGTCTCAACTTTATTGCAGCCTCGCCTAGACGAAATCAAAACCTGAAACTAAATGTCAATTTCTTCTGAAAACGAGACAGGGAGTAATTGAATTGCTCATATGGCAGGAATGGTTAAGCACACGAAACAGATTGTCAGAGAAGACTGCTATCTAGTCCATGAAAGAAATGTGCAACCCACATATTTTCGACAGACAGTGCTCAAAAGCATTCATCTAACGCACCTAGGATCCGCTGCGATAAGTTGATCTCTGTGAACTTATCTGGTTCCCGCACATCGATCGATCCATTGTGCAGATGGACCAAAAATGTCGACATTGCACAGATCATGGTAAAAAATATGAAAAATTTATAACAAAATTTCAATCAATCCAATTGAACCAATTAGTTGGACCTAATGAAAAGATCAGAGATGAAACAGGAGTAAGCTAAATTTTACACTTTTGAGATCCACATGGGAAGAAATTTGAACGCACAACTCTCAAGCAAAATAACAAGTTCATCAAACAACTTAAGCTGGGATAATGCAAGACACGCAAGTTTACATTGCAAAAACCTAATGTACCCGACACTCCCGGAGGAAGCAATGCGTTGGTCAGAAGATGATGTGGTGGTCAAGAGGAAAACCACCAAAAAACTTGTAACAGCAAAACTCACCGAAAGCTTGACAGCATCCAGCACTACAGACTCTGCTAGAAGCGGGTGTGTGAACTAGACAAATTTTATTTAAAAACGGGAATCACTTAATTTAAGATACAAGGTATAAAAAAAAAGACGAAAAAAAAATCACCAAAAAGAACATAGAACAGGTACCAAGAAAAACTTTTTGTTTAGCCACAAAAAAAGCCCAAAAATTGGAACAAAATCAAAAATTATTAGACTGATCCAGATAGTTTAGGTACAAATATTTGGCCAAAACGCCGATTACTGAGAAACAGCGAATTTGCATTCGTAACAATTCCACAAAACTTTAAACCGTACGGACCATCGCGATGAAGCGACTACGTCCTATAAAAATCCGCCAGAAGAAGAAGACCTCGTCATCCAATGTTTAAAGAAGACAAACAGACAGGAGTGAAGCCAAAGAATCTAATTAGAAAGGAGCAACAACAATTACAAGACAGTCCTAGGAAAGGAAAGGGAAAGATCTAAACTGGAAAACGAACGGAAGTCAAACCCGGACCCAAGGCACCGAAAAGATGATGCAGCCACGCGCAGAATCTCAACAACACGTTCAAGAAAAAAGACTACACCAGAAAAGGTTGATGAAGGACTATCGATATAAATTTGCGACGATTACTCATCTCGACGGCGAGGAACACACCACTATCTCCAAAAAGAGTAGACACGAAGAAAAACTATCGCAAATCTTTAGAATATCAGCAGAAGCGACACAAAAGTCGATCAGAAAACGAGAGTATGCCCTCGCGGGGTTATTAAGCAACCCAGTACCGATTAGAACCATCGACGAATAACCGAAGGAACATTCAGAAAAGAATCATCAGAAGACAAACTGGACAGGGGAAGGAGCACAAACAGCCTGATTCATAAATTGCGTTTTAAAATCGCCTGAATATCAGAATATCAGGCATGTGTAAAATTTTTGGAAGCCATCAAGCTAAAAGCAAAACCCATTACATAAGATGTCATGAATCTCGTTTCATTTGCTGCTGAAAGGGGGATGTCTTCCGGCCAGATATATATTTATATAATATTTGAATGACAAGTTTTCAGCAAAATGCCTAATTTTTAAGAGGCTATCGAGCGCAACGTTTAAAATTGCTTAGATCAGTACTTTAAGAAACACTCAGAGCAACAATCAGAGCGAGATGAACTCGATTCAACTTTAAGGCTTGACAGTACCTGCCCACTTTTTGTCCAAAATTTAGCGTGTACAGATTAATTTCAGTCTAGAACGAATCACTTAACTTTAAAACTGCAACGTCTATGCTAAGAAAGAAAATTCTGCAAACCAGTTCGATCTATGGAATTCATGGAAATGTTTTAATATTTCAAAGCTCGAAAAGCTTGCTTAGAAAAATTTTCGCGAACCGATCCAGTCTATGAAATAACTTGAAATATTTAAAGTTTCATAGCATGATGAAAAGCTTGCTTAGAAAAGCTTCAACTTTTGACGAAGCAATTCGGTCTACGAATAAACTTCAAAAGTTCAAAGTTTCATAGCTGGAATAGTTTCTTAGATAACTTTGATTTTTTCACAAACAGATTCGATTTATGAAACAGCCTGAGTAATTTCAAATTTTCTAATTTCTAGCCTAAAAAAGCTTGCTTAGAAAAACTGATTTTTTTTGCGAACCGATTCAATTACAGTTTTATTGCTTGAACAGTTTTTATATAAAAACCTTAAGTTGCGTCATCCAATTTGCTTCATGAAATCTTTTGAAATATTTCAGAGTTTCATAGCTTGAGTAGCTTGCTTAGAAAAACTTCATTTTTTCGGGAACCGATTCGTTCTATGAAACCTAAAGTTTTTCAAACCGATTTACGATATGGCCTAACTTGAAATTGTATTAAGTTTTTTTTGCTGGAATAGCTTGAGCAGAACAGCAACTACTTTTTTGCGAGCCATTGATTATTGGAGGCGGGCTTGCTAGTTTTCTTTCATTTGCACGCTTGTCATGCTGGTCAGTTGACCTTGATGATTGGAGCGTAGAGTAAAAAGCATTGACTCTCAGATTGAAGAAAATCCGTTTACCGATTTGATGTTCTGAGTTCGAAGAGCGTTATTCGGTTTATCAATCTGTTTGGATTCACTGTTAGAACTTTACATACGTTACAGTATGACATGACGCTGTACGGATTCGTTATGACAAATCGGAATCCGCACTGCTTTTTTAAATTTTAGATTAGATCTCTGTTAAAGTGGCACTGTACATATAGTCTCACAACAGTACTGGAATTTTTCTGAAAGATAACTGAACGAGTAATGATTTGCACTGCGAGACAACAACGAGCATGATTGAGCTCAGTTTCGAATTTGGTCCCCGAGTTAAACATTGGATCATAATTTACGCAATTACTCGAAGATCAATCGTACTAAAAGTTTGGCTCATTCAGCCCTTTCCCATGAAAAAAAAATGTTTGCTAAGTTTTTGACCCGGGTAGTTCAAAAATGAAATGAAACCTATAATTTGATTTCCAATGACAGCTCCTTTTTTATGTGTGAACTGTTATGGTTGAACAATAATAATCACCGCGATATATACTGTGATCGATTAAGTCTCAGCATAGGAATGCTGAGGAAAAAAAATTGGTAAAATAATAAAATCAGGGACTACCAGTAGAACACCTGTCTAGTTGACATAATCTGGTAAACTGTAATAACCACGTGACGCAAGGTGCCGATTAAAAAGGAATACAAAAAGAGCTACATTTTCTATAACAATTCATTATATTCCATAAAAATCCAAATTGAAACTACAGTCTTCGATAGATTATTTCACAGCTTATTAATACAGCGAAACGTCAAAGCATGATTGTTTACACAGTTTACCACTACAACCTAAATTCAACTTTGCAATAAAAAACCTAGATCAAATTAGCATAGACTGAAAATAGTCTTAAAATGCCAATTATTTATGCCAAGAGTGGCTTGCAATGAGCGATTCCGAAACCACAAGCGGCGCTCCAGAAATGAAACAAGGCATCGATGATAGTTGTGCGCCAGCAGCTGCCATAGAGTTCACTTACCCAGAAACGTCCCCTCCCAATTCCGTGGAAGCCATGCGTCAAGTCATATCCCAGCAAAACAGTGAAAACCCTAGTGTTTTGGAACACAAATCTTGCAGGGAAATCTTGCAAGATATCTTGAATAAAAACCTTGCACTCATCTTGCTTTTTAATGCCAAATCTCTTGTAATCATTCTTACAAGAGTTGTAGTAGTTTGCAAACATCTTGCAAGATTTTCATTTCATTCACAAGATTGGCACAAAGTGTATATGTTCATCTTGCAAGGTTCCTGCAGGATTGGTTATCCATGTACTCTAGGGAATAACCAAGGGAATGACAGCGAAGTTGATAGCAATAGTGCATCAGCTGTAGCTGATGATAATTTACCCATGGGTAAAATTGAAGAGAGCGAATCAGATGTTAGAAGGTCAGGCGGTGTGTGCTTCACAGAAAACAATGAGTTTATTCCATTTTCCTCTTATGATCTATGCGACAGCTGGGATCAGGAGGGTGACAGGACCAGCTACTTGTCCATTGACCACTACACACCCACTGAAGCGAACCAACACCACTCCCCCGCTTCCCCTTCGCACTCTTCCTCATCAGCCACTCGACCCCCCACAAATGACTCTCTGGATAATGTCACTGTGGTAGTCAGGTCAGTTAACGGTCATCTTTTTCCATTCAACCCCCCCCCCCATCCAGCGTCTTTTTATACTTTTACATACTTCTAATGCACAATGTGTCTTACGCGGAATGAGTTGCCAAGTTAACCATTAGAAAAAAGCTAAATTCTCCAGATTTTGTTCTATGCTTCATAGTTTTGTTACTTTTGATTCTCAGGATTCGACCCTTCGTGGAAATGGAGACAAAAAAATGCGACGAAAGAGTGGCTACAAACTTGGGAGGAGGCAGCATACTGGTAAGAAGAGTAAAAGTAATATCAAGCAATCTTTCTGAAGGTCTTTTCTAAATAATGACAAAAAAGACTGCTATTATCAGGTTAAAGACTAAAATAATCGACGAAAATAATTTTAAAAAAGGTCATAATAGGCTAATGATGCACTCCAGGCGCATATTGAGAGACGGCCCTTGAAAAACTTTCATCATCCAAAAGGTGCCACTTTGATACTATTTTTTGGCATTCATTTTTGGCTGATAAACTCTTAAATTTTTTGGTAGACGCCCTTTGGGCCTATCTTTATGGTACAATAACCGTAGCGCAAAGTGAGTACCGAAAAAAAGAATCACAGAGAAATCTTGCAAAAAAGGCTTAAAAATACTTTTTGTTTGTTATTTTTATCGATTTGCGTGCTTTCACATAAGTTAAGGTAGTGTTGAGCGTTTTGGTTGAAATAAAAGTCAAAGATATAAAATTATTTATCTAAATTTGATTATATACTGGAACGATATCATAGTGTTAGATTATTATTAGTCTAAATTATGATTTTTTTGTTACTTTGTGCCTTAATATAACAAAACATTTCAGATTTGATCAATAGTTATTGTTTGCAAAGCCATTGTGGTTTAAAAATTTGGATAAGTAATGCGCGCAAAATTTTTAAAAGTTATACAAAGGAGTTGCACAGAAATCATTCCAACTTGAATTAACGCAGACTTGCTGATCCAAATATTGGCTTTTTTCCACTACCTCCCAATATTTGAATTTTAATTTGAGAAAATATTTAAAATTTTTATTTTTTCTAAAAAAATGACGGAATAATTGTGCTCAGGGTGATTTTCCCCAGACTAATTTTGACATTTTAACAGCAGTTTATGATGATTTTTTTATCAGTCGAAAAGTATTCCTGTTTTAAGCTCAAACTAAAAAAATCACCTGTGATCATTTTTTTTAAAGTTATGCTGGTTCAAAGGTTGCCAATTTGGCCTGTTTGGATATTTACAGCGCTATAATTTTCGTGCTATTAAAGGCTAAGCGGAGATTTAATTGTTCCTACTTTCCAAGAAAGCACGGAACATTTATGGTTGTTGTGATTGTTTCATTCGGTCATTTTTTGAGTTTTTACTAGACATTTTACGGAAATTTTTATACCATCTAAAAAAATGTTGTGTGGATTTTTTTTTGCAAACTAACTAGCAAAATTTCGCGTTCTTACGACAATCGTAAGAGGCAGAGTTATGCGTTCGAAATTCAACTGCGGCAATTCTTTTAGTCTTAATTTTACGACACAAGACTCCACATCAATCCTTTTGTAGTTTACATTTGCTTGAGTGTTGAAAAAAACTACAACTTTCTTTCTTTTTTTGTTTATTTAATCAATTTGTCAACCAAATTTTTTTTATTGTTCGTAAAGAAGAGTCGAAAAATCCAATGTTTCGCCCTGGTGAACGAGCTGTCTTGTTTGTCTTAGAAATTTTTTCAAACTGAATTGAGGCATTCTGTTTGGTCTACTTAAGACTTTGTTGTATGTGAAAAATATCACTTTGTACTTTACATAGCGTGAGAGGGGACGGATTCCAAAAAAAAGTTTAGAATTTTTCTTTTTTCTAAGACTATCAGTTTTTTTAAATAAACTCTTTTTTATTGAACTTGAAAAGCCGTCGGAACATTCAGAGCTTTGCCTTGATATGCGAGCAGTCTTTTTGTAACGAGCAAGCAACCGAAATATTTATGTTTGGGGTGATTTTTTATTCAGCCAATTTCGGAGATCAAAATAATAATTTCTCATCGACTCTCTGAAATCAGGTGTAGAAAAAATTTATACCTCCGATTAATTTTGCAAAGGTCTGGGAGTTTAAACATTGTCAATTTAGCCATGCTGTTGACTATTTTATGCGCGCTTTGAAGATTTTATTCATAATGCTGAAAGCGTAACGGTAGTTTTTTATGTGCGGCGATTTATCCCGCCCTAAGAAGGGTTCCCACTTGAGCTAAAGTAAGCTAATTGGTCTTACTTTTTTGTCCAACTTGATTTTTTAAATTTTATCTTTTATATTGTCCAAATTTTTAGTTTTTCAATACTTTCTCCTACCAAAATCTGTTCGGTATGGGTTACGGGCAGTCGGAACATTCAGGGCTTTGCCCTGATTTACGGACTAGTCTTGTTTGTCTTCGAAATTGTTCCAAATTGAATAGAGGAATTATATTCGGCCGTGCTGTATGTGAAATATATCACTTTTTACTTTACATAGCGTGAGAGGGGATGGATTCCAAAAAAAAATCTCGTCCTAGAATTTAGAAGTTTTTCTTTATTTTGTAAATGAATTCTATCCCATTGAGCAGTATAAGTTAATGTTGATGAAAGGGAATGAAATTTTGCATGGTGAACAAATAAAAAACTGTTGTGAACCTATTTGTTCTTCATGCCCTCCTTTTCTGTCAACTCGCCAAAATAAAACGTAAAACATTCTAATTCAAAATTTTCAATTGTGGGTGAAAGCGGGAAAGATCCAAACCATATGTTAGTAGTACATGTCCTGGTGGAGCATTTTGAAAAAAGAAGGGTCGAGCCAGGCTAACATTTTGAAGCAGGCTAAACTTTTACGGAGTGAAAATTTTGTCAATAATTTTGAACAAACCAAGTTTACTTGAGAGAGCTGAAAGTGTAGTCGGAAGATTGAAAGCTTTGCACTGATACGAGCAGTGTGTACATTTTTATGTGTTTTAGATTGACAACGGGTGTAGTAAGCCGTTCACATTCAACGCAGTGTTCGACGAGCACTCGAGTCAGTCCGAGTTCTTCTCGCATTGTGGGGTCACAAGACTCGTGGACAAGGCACTGGAGGGTTTCTCATGTACTGTGTTTGCCTATGGACCAACTGGATCTGGAAAAACACACACCATCACAGGCCCAGAGGGATGTGTATGTACAAACTTCTATTAACAGTAATCTTTGTGGTCAATCTCGGCTCATTTTGTTTGCCTGTTGAGTTGAAACTCACTTGTATTGATTTCCATAACACCCTGAAAGTGAGCGTAATCTCGTACAATCAGAAGCGGATCTAAGATTTTCTCGAGAGGGAAGGGAATTGTTTCAAAAACTTTAGGTCCACCAAATCGATTTTCCGAGCTCTCGTAAAACACCATACGGACCCTGGTTTTGACAAAAAATTCCGCGCCGGAATTAAAAGCAGAACGGCACTCTAACATGTCTAGAAAAGTAAAAACATCCTTTTTTATATTTTTATGAATAAAGATGTATGTGGCATTAGTACGCACTCAGAAGCAATAATACCCGACCACTTCAACATCTAAAATTTTGCAATCTAAAAACTCGAAAACACAGCAAAAACGCTCAAAAATGGTCGGCAACCTTGGCATATGCAAAATGCTTTTGGGTAGCTCGGATAAAAATTATTTTGTAGATGTCGTGTTTCAGTTCAGCCAGGGTCGCTCGGACCAGATCGGGCTGATCCAGAGGTCATTCATGTACCTGTTCGACCGGATAGACTCCATCAGCAACAGCAGCAACAGTAATAACAACAAACAACAACAGTCAGACCATGTGAGCTTCTTCCTAAAAGTGTCCTACTTGGAAGTCTACAATGAAAAGGTTAGTCTGTCTCATCCAATGGGAAATCCCTCACACTCGATGGATCGAGTGAATGTGCGGAAAAATTGTCAGCCAATCATAGCCCATTATTCAAAATTTTCGCGCATTCGTTTTTCTGCGCGTGAAGTAGCCCCTTATTCAACCACTGGTGCACCATGACGCAACAATACATAATACGTATTGCTGTCCTCCGAGTTCAATTCAACAAATTTTGAAAATTTTTTAAACGATTTTAAGAATACTTTTGGATCCCATTAACACATCCCAATGTGTTACCAGTGACAAATATTCAGCCCTTAAACAAACTAATTCATCGGTTAAGATGATTTTTTACGAGTATTGAAACTAGTAAAGAATTTTTTTTCTGACCGCTCTCTAAACAGCGGGAAAAATGTTTTGGCGTAGGGGCTGTTTTTTCATCCAGTTTTGAGTCAAAATTTTTTGGGGTATTCAAAAATTTTTAAGTACGACCCCAAAAAAGCTTGTAAGGTGTGAAGTGCGGTTTAATAATGAAATTTTTCAGTCGTTATTTGCCTTCTAAAATACTTCAAAGAAAAGTTCACAATCTCGAAAAATTTTAAAGCTTTTCAGACTAAATTAGATAAAGGCTGGCAGGAATTTGATTAGAGGCTGGCCTCGAGACTATTTCTATACCTACATTATTTTAGCTAAAAACACCACGCATGCTTTCTTTTTTGTTCCGACTTTCAAAAGAAACGTAACTTTTATGCTCTGTGTGGTTTTTTTATTCAGTCAATCTTTGCCGATTAAAATAATAATTTGAACAATAAATTTTTAGACCCCATTGAAGATATCGACTTTCTGAGTTCAGATTTCAAAAAAAATTGTTTTAACTCCAATTACTTTTTGTTAAGTTCTGGGGGGTTTGAAAATTGCCAAAATGGCCATGTTCTAGACAAATTATGCGCGTTGAAGAATTTATTCTAAATGCTGAGAGCGTAATTGGATTTATTTATGCGTGGCGAATTATCCCGCACAATAAAATCGTTTCAAATTGAATTGAGGTTAGCTAATCGGTCGTACTAATTTTGTACGACTTAAAAATTTACAGTTTGAATTTGTCCAAAATTTATATGTTTTCAATACTTTCTTTTCCCGAAAACTATTCGATATGAATCAAGGGACAGCTGGAACATTCAGGGTTTTGCCATGTTATGCGAGCAGCCTTGTCTTAAACTTGGTTGATTTTTCTATATAAACAAGACTGCTCGGGTCAGGGCGAAGTCTTGAAGGATCCGACTGCCTTTAAAGGTATATGGATCAATAATAACATGAAAAAATTAAATGTAATACTATAAAATTAAATGTTTTTTTTTTAAATAAATTTTAAGATTTTTTTTGTGAAACTCATCCCCCAAACGCCAGATAAATTTCACTTCTAGTAATTCTGGCAAATGAGCTTCCTTCAACCAATTTGGAATGATTTCTAAGACGGAGTAAATCTCCGCTTGCGCGTTAATAGCGCGAAATATATCGCGCGTTAATTGACCCAAATTGGCCAAATGGCAATCTTTAAACCCCCATAACTTCACGAAAAATGTTCAGAGGTGAAATATCGTTTTGACTTAAAGCTCAGGACAACAATACCTTTTGAATGATATAAAAAATTCCGTCAAAAAAGGCTAGTTGAAATATTTGTGCTCGGGAAAAAAAACTTCCCGAGCACAAATATTCCCCGTTACTTTTGAACAATTTGTTCAAAAATATGAAAAAAATATATTTTTTAAACTTTCAAATTTTTTTATTATGATTAAATAAGCGTGGTTGGACAATCTGCCAAGCTTGCTGTCCTTTTAGAAAAGAACAAGTTGCGAATAGGCTTCACTTTTTCCGCAGTGTCATCCCTATTTTCTCATCACTCAATTCGCTGGTTACTTCAGCTTTGGCTAAGTGGATAAACTCAATTTGTCAAATTGATCCTCAAGTAGGTCTTGAACTATTCTTTGTTGGAGTGCGGAAACGGGAAAGCAATGAGGAAACGGGAAATCAATGAAAACAAAGCACCTTTGTGAAAAATCAATTCAGATATATCTGTGTGCGGTCACTTGACCCTATACCACTGTTTTTGACCCTATACCACTGTTTTTAAGACGATTTATTCACGGTGAAAAGGACCAAAATATGACCTATTCGACTCTTTACGGAGAATGGCTGCTAAGGCTCTTGGTTAAGAATTACATGCAACTTTTAAAGAATTTTCTAGGCAGGAGAAAGTTGTATTTACCCAAACGAGCGCGCCAATCATTTTGGGAAAGTGCATCTTTTTGATAAGGCTTTTATACCAGTTGAGTTGATTTTCATTCATAATCTGGACTATTGCTGCAAAATCTGAAAAAGAGAACAAAATTCAGGTGCTGCTTTTCACTTTGTAACATATTACTATAAAAATTAGATGGGTTAATATATCATATCAGCGGCCATTAAATCGTGAATGGAGCCGCAATGAAAAATGATTGAAATCTTGGTTCTATCTTTAACCTTTGATAATCTGAATTTTTTGGCTGATAATGTTAAGAGCGAAGAATGACTTCACAAAATGAGTCACAGTTTGACTGTTACAACCCTTGTAATGAAAAATCTCAAACAAATGCCTTCCATTCACACACAAAAGTTGATTGCAAAATAGAGTCAAAATTTTTAAAAAGAAAAATGTATGATGCTTTATGGTTTCTAACTTTGAGAAAAGTATCGAATTTTTTTCCGTGACTAAAAAAGACTGTGGTGGAAACATTTTGTGAGCAAAGCAACCGGTTATCCTTCTTCTCGCATTTTGTGACTTGAAATGTCTAGGTTGTGCCTTTATAGGTGAAGGATCTGCTGAACCCGGGGGGCAGTGGAGGTGGGGGAGGGGGAGGGGGGCGTGACTGCTCTCTGAAGATCAGGTGGACTAAGGAGAGGGGCTTCCACGTAGACAATCTGTTCACAGTCGAGTGTGAAACAATTGAGGACATCATGATTATCCTCGAAGAAGGCAAGTGTTGACAAATATTACATAATTGTTTCATAATTAGGTAATTTATATCACCTAACATGCACACGCTGCTCTTTTTAATACTTGATACTAAAAAACGTCACAAGCCGCACTGACTTTGACCAAAATATTTGAATAATTTCAATTTTATAAACCATTGGATAATAATTTTGCCAATAATTATAATTAATGAGTATGTGCTGTGTTGATTAGGGATGAACCACCGACAAATGGGAGTGTCGAACTGCAATGACCACTCCAGTAGAAGCCACACTCTATTGCTGTGTGAAGTGTCCAGCGAGAGCCTCAGTCCAGATGACCACACCATGTACATACACAAACACGGACACCTCACGTTTGTCGACTTAGCAGGTAGAGCTTTCATGATGCTTCAAAAAAACAACCGAAGTTCTAAATGATGTTTTTGGCAGAGAAATCGGTTCAAAAAACTACAAGCATGCGTTAGAGAAAACTTGAGCATTGTAGTTGACCTTTTCTTCAGACTTCCGATAACATATTAACTACTCATGTTTAATTTTTTGTGAAGTTGAGGTCGATCCTGATACCCTCAAATTTCTTAGCGCAGAAAATGGTTGATACCAGAAGAATCTTGAGAGAGACAGTTTCAGGATTAAGTTTAATTGGCAGCTGTCACCTAGATAGGAAGTTAAAAACAAATAACACTTACCATAGCTTTGTTTTCTGTGAAAAGGAAGTCGACCCTGAAACTCAAGCCGGTCTTAAAAAGAAAAAGAGTAGATTCTGGAAAAAAATATTGAGAACGAAAGCTTAGGGTTATGTTTAACTGACATTAAAAGCAAAGACTAGAAAACTTACCTAATGACTTAAAAGAACTAGGCACTGATAATGCTTTTGATTTTTTGAGCACAAAATTAAGAACATAATTTACTGAAGAATGAAAAGCTCAGGTCCAGAACAATTCAGATGCGATTCTGTGGGGTCAGTTCTTTTTTACAACAAGTAAAAATCTACTATTTTTTCAGCGGATGCATCCGATCTTGTTCAACAGAATCCATGACTAAAAATATTGACCAACGTCTCAAAAATTAGCAAAACTTATCCTTAACAAAAAAAACGATGTACTCATCTAATCAAACTTGAGACCAATATCACTGTTTTTTTAAGATTGGCAACCCTCATAGAACATTTAATTACGAACGAAAAACTTGATTTGATAAAAATAACATTTTTTTTCTCAATTTTAATTTAGGTTTCGATCTAAAGGTTGTCTGTCGTTCAATCCATGAGTTTTTGAAAAACAGGAAACCCAATTGTTAAATACAAAAGAAGCTTTCTTTTCGCTCTAAAGATTTTGATACTTTTTTTCTTCAGAAAATCTAAATAAAACGGCCTCAGGAAAATTTAATAAAAATTCTAGTATTGTTTGTGTCATTGAATTTATTGTGGATTACACAGGAATTTATTATGGGAACTTCAATATGTACACTTGGTCTCCCAAATGTTCTTGATCAAAAATTGATTGTAAGGTATGCTGACAACACAAACCTTTAATATAAGTAGATAAGTACAAAATTAAAATAAATGGACACAAACAAAACTCATTAATTGGAAAATAGTTTGTCCAAAAATGGAGAAAAAAGCACACTCCAAGTTTTCACAATGTTGATTAAAATAATTCGTTGTACGAAATTAAAAAATACAAAATAAATGAAGAAGCACTAAAAAACTATCCTTTGTTTTTAAGTAGTTTCATTGATGGCCGAAGTAATTTAGTTTTTATTAATTCAAAGAAACTTTTGAGAAAGAAAGTAATAAATACGTAACAACATTAGTACATATGTATCAGTATATAATTAAAAACTCCTCAGCAGTACAAAATAATTGTTCCGACTTCAAATTTAAAAAAAAATGACGGATTATTTGTGCTCGAGGTATTTTTTCTTCTGACATTTTGATTTTTTAAACTAGCCTTTTTTGATGATTTTTTTTATATCACTGAAAAAGTAACGTTGTTTTGAGCTCAGATTAAATAAACTCATCTGTGGTATTTTTTCGTAGAATTATGGGAGTTTAATTATTGCCAATAAAGTCAATTTGAGCAATTAATACGCAAATACATTTCGTGGGATGTATTTTGATTTTTAGTCTTTTTTCGAGCGAGTAATGTGTGGGAGTATGCTTATTTTGTTTTTCAAATAAATGTATTTACTATAAATAAGCAGCGTATTGGTTGTACTGATATTGTAAAATTTAAAAAAAAAATTGTCTCAATGTCAAGAAAAACTGGTGTGAGGTTTTTATGTTCTAGTCTAATTTCGAGCGAAAAAGCAATCGAGCAGGCTTGTTTTTAGAAGAATAGGCGATGAAATTTTAGCTTAAGTCCGTAAACTTTTTTTCAATGTTTGTTAAGCGCCAAATTTGAATTAAAAATTTTAAAAATTAAAAAAAATTTTGCAAAAAAAAGTGAAGAAAAAAGTGATAAGCATTTGTTTGTTTTTTTTTGTCGTTTTTCGACTGAAAACATTACACAATTTGCCTATTTTAATGTGATTCTCCATATAACTAATTTCTAGATTTTTTTCAGATCTTTTTACCACACGATGCACAAAAAACAACAAACTTTTGAACAAAAACGTCGAGAACCTTTTTATACTGTTTTTTTATATTTGTTTGGTCGGATTATTTTGGGCTAAATGCACAGCAACCGACGATCCTTAATTGAGTTTGGATTTTGTCAGCTGTAAAAATATTAAAAAGAATGCTGTTTTTTGTACATACATTCAGATAGCTCTACATCACCGAGAATGAAGAACTGTTAAATCTGAATTTAGCAGAATTAAAACTGTGTTTTTTCCCAGCTTACAGAGTCAAAAACTAAAATTGTTTTTTCAATTAAATTTTTGACAAAACAAAATGTTGGCTCTCCGGTCTCTTAACTGGAGCACACTTGTTTGCTTGAAAACGTTTTTTCAAAAAACAAATTCCAGACCAAACGTTTTCGACACAGTTTTTCTTGGAAACAAAAATGGTCGTAAAAAAACTTTGACATGTAATATAAACAAACTGCATAATAATTTTTGAAATCACTAATTTCCACTTGCTCGTAGCAATCTAAGAAGCAACCTAACTTTTGAAATTAGCAATCTAACCGTAGTTTTTTCAGCACTTAAAAAAGATTATTTGCTTGGGTCGTTAGTTTGATACTTATCGCAGGCAAACACGCGAGAAAGCTCTTGAAACTATCAATTTAGGCGAATTTCAATTGAGAATCGAAAACATAGCATTCTTCGATAGCCTCAAAGCAAAAAAAAACATACACTCCAATGATAAAGTGAGCCAACATCTAACTTCATCGATATTTCATTTTGTTTTGTTTTATTTTTTTTCTGGTATGAGACAATTGCAAAAGCGATGTTTTTTAAGTACAGAAAAAAAAAAAATTTAAAGAAAAAATTCTTGCTAAATAATACTAGTACATTCGTTCAACCTATAAAGACTACCATTGCTCAAGTAAACACTCTCTTGTTATTTTTCAATAAGGCAAGAAACAGGAGTATATCTTTGAAAGGCAGTCATCAATTAGAATTTAACAATGTTTTACGACTTCAATTTTTTCTTACTCTGAAAAAAAGTAGGAGAACGTTTCTGCTCGGAGTATATTTTCTTTGTCGCATCAGTAAATGATATTATCAAGAAATATCAATTAAATTGCAGCAAGATACCCATGTCGAGGCGCTCACTTTACATTTCGAACGTCTCGAACACAATTCGGTATGTTTCGACCGTGCTCGACCATAACAAATCTGATGAAGCAAGATATTTTTCGACCGTGCTCGAGCAAAACCAAATACGCGTACGTTTCGACTTTAAAACAACATGAGTTATCCAAATTTATACGCTATAACTAATGCTTTTCTGGTAACATTTTATAATGCATTTTATCCGAATGAAAGAATTAGCGTTTTTTTCAATTTAAATGCCGTAGAGATGAACTAATTTTGGGCAATTTTTTCCCATCTTTTGGAATGCTGGTTTGCACTTCGATTCGAAAATGTTTTAAAAATTATGTTGATTTTTGGAGAAAACTTTTCTTGTGGACTCGGAATTACAGCGTGACAATCAGTAACTTTCGACCATACACGAGATATGTTTTGACCGTGCTCGACCGTGCGCGAGATAATTTCCGACCGTGCTTGAAGTATGTTTCGATTTTGTGCTCAACGCAAACCACTGTCTCGACTGTTCTTTTCGGTCGAGCATTCGAGCACTGACATGTGCTCAACTTTGAGAGTCGAAACATAAAGTGAGCACCTCGACCCGGGTAGGCACAATACAAAAAGTTTTTGAAGAGTTTTTGTTGTTTCACTTTTGCTAAAAAGTAAAACAAATCTTTTGATAAGCTAATTTAAATGCCATACATTACCCTCAGAAGACCGAAAAAATGCAAAATTATATAAAAAATTAAAATTTTAAAGAATTTTTAGTTTTCGTTATTGAAAGTTTTCGTTATTCAAGTTTTCGTTATTCAAGAAATATCAATTAAATTGCAGCAAGCTACCCATGTCGAGGCGCTCACTTTACGTTTCGAACGTCTCGAACAAAATTCGGTATGTTTCGACCGTGCTCGACCATAACAAATCTGATGAAGCATGATATTTTTCGACCGTGCTCGAGCAAAACCAAATACGTGTACGTTTCGACTTTGAAACAACATGAGTTATCCAAATTTATACGCTATAACTAATGCTTTTCTGGTAACATTTTATAATGCATTTTATCAGAATGAAAGAATTAGCGTTTTTTTTCAATTTAAATGCCGTAGAGATGAACTAATTTTGGGCAATTTTTTCCCATCTTTTGGAATGCTGGTTTGCACTTCGATTCGAAAATGTTTTAAAAATTATGTTGATTTTTGGCGAAAACTTTTCTTGTGGACTCGGAATTACAGCGTGATAATCGGTAACTTTCGACCATACACGAGATATGTTTTGACCGTGCGCGAGATATTTTCCGACCGTGCTCAAGTATGTTTCGATTTTGTGCTCAACGCAAACCAGTGTCTCGACTGTTCTTTTCGGTCGAGCAGTCGAGCACTGACATGTGCTCAACTTTGAAAGTAGAAACATAAAGTGAGCACCTCCACCCGGGCAGGCTCAATAAAAAGTTTTTGAAGAGTTTTTGTTGTTTCACTTTTGCTAAAAAGTGAAACAAATCTGTTGGGAAGCTAATTTAAAGGCCATACATTACCCTCAGAAGACCGAAAAAATGCAAAATTATATAAAAAAATTAACATTTTAAAGGATTTTAGTTTTCGTTATTGAAAGTTTTGCAATCAAAAATGTCTGTAATCGGAACTTTCTGTCACAGTAACTGGATATTCTTGTCTTAATACATTTTTTTCAATTCTATATGCAAAATCAATAAAGATTTAATTTGCAGAGTTAAATGTTTTTGCATTGCTATTTGCTTTCTGCTTGCAGGAAGTGAGAAACTGAATCAAACCTGTGAAGGAAATTTGGCAGAGACGACCAACATCAATAAAAGTCTGCTCGCTCTCGGTAAGTCACAACAAATAAATCGCGCGCAAATCTGGCATCTCGTTATCAATTTCCCTGTAAATGTTATGTTCAATTTACATTTCTTATTTCACGGTCTTTAATAACAATATTTCTGTAAAATGACACAAGAAATAATTTTTTCACTTTTAATATAGGAAAATTGAACATCGTACGAGTTTGAATTTTTATGTTTAAAAAATCGTCTATATCGCCCTTGCTCTCTGGAGGTCAGTATTAACACCTTGTTTAACGATGACTAGAAATCAATTAATTGGGAGGATGGTTTAGGCAACTGCATCTCGTGTCTGAGTGACAGTCGGAAGAGGGGAGGCCACATTCCTTACAGGGAGAGCAAACTCACCCAACTACTCGCCGACAGTCTGGGCGGAAATGGAATCACTCTCATGGTATGTATGGCCACATGCAGGTGCGGGTTTAGGGGAGAGGGTGGACGCCCGTTCCCTCAGGTATTCGACCCCCTGCAGACCCAAAGGGTCCCCCCTTTGTACTATTTTGAGATAGATATCCATTTTTGGTGACGGGCCCTAAAAACTTTTCAAAGGCACCTTCGGCGTCAATACATTCTAATTTTGAGGGGGCAGCGCGCTTCGAAAACAAAAGCAATTTTTTGGTCAAAATTTATCGAAAAGTGCCCGAAAACGCCTTTTTTTGGCCCGTTCACTCAAAATTTAATCTGCGGTCCAGAAAACTTGGCCAAAATAGGGGCTTTCAAAGCTTTGGGAGAGCTCGGAAACCAATTTGGTCAACCTAAAACAAATGTCGACCTAAAGCAAATGTGGACAATGTCGACAAAAATGTTTTTGAAAATCCGCCCCCCCCCCCCCTCTCGAAAACATCCTACATCTGCCCCTGGCCACACGTATGACCCCACTTTTTCTTTCTCCTTGCACGTAACTGTTTATACAGAAGAGCGTAATTTTTTCCAGCATTTTGTCAAAAATTATGTAAAATTAAGGTTTCAATTAATTGTTAAGCAGTCGAAATTTGAAATTAAGCAGTCGAAATGTTAAAAAGCATAAAACACGCAGAGCCGAAAAATTCCGTGACTTGCTTCGAGAGTCAGGAAAAATAATCATCAATTCCTCCAGTTTTTCATTTTGTACAAAGCGGCGAAGCGGAGCTTCGCACCAATTGTGATTCAAGAAAAACATAAAAAAATCTAAGTAAAAAAATAAATGTTGAGAAAAAAACTAGGTGAGCCAAAATCTTCCTATGTATCGATAAAAACCATCTAGGGACCCAGCTGAAGCCGGAGGTAGGTTTTGATGTTGAACAAATTTGCTATGCTGATGCGGCACGAAAATGTGACTTCAAAAACTGTCCAAAACGACAATTGTTTCTCTACTAAAATATATGAGAAGAGTTAAAAAAATTTTGAGTTATTCAATTTTCCCAAGAAAAAAACCTTTCTCTTAAAAAAAATTAGGTAGTCGCCGCTTCTGCAGAAACAATTTTTAACTGGTTCTTTCCCGTGAACATTTTAGTGTAAAAAAAGTTCAAAAGTTCTGAACAACGTTCAGAAGATTTTGCAAAGTCCATAACTTTTTCAGCAAAACGCATTTTGCGGCCGCTGAAGCATAGAAATTTTCCAAACAGGGTTTCTCGATTGAACACAACCTGAAAAATGGCACACTAGTTTTCGCATGAAGTCAAAAAATTTCAAAAAAAAAATGTCAGAGCTTCGAAACTGAGCTGTTTGATTCCCATAACTTTTTTCTCGAATTTCATACAGGTAGGCTTTCAATCACCTGTTGTTTCGATTAAATCTATAATATCAGATTTGGCAGAATCAATTCGGTCAACAAATCAAAACTCAAGAAATTTCCGAGAATCATAGTATTTTGTGTGATAAAATAGGGCATAGACACTTATGCAAAAGAGATCAAAACAACCGCTCATTTCAATAAAATCCAAAATCTTAGATTTGGGAGGGTAGTTCTCGTGAAAAGTCAAAAACTTAAAAAAAAACGATCAAAAAATCAAAATTTTAACTTTACCGAGGGTTTTATAAGCAAATGAGCTTTTCACCACCCGTTCTTTGAATTGAACCCAAAATCTCAGATATGGCAGGGTAACTTTCGAGAAAATTCAAAAAGTATAAAAAATGGTCAAAAATCAAAAACTTGACTTTTCCTAGGACGATTACTTCTTGCGTAAAACTTTTTGTTAGTATCCGCTAATGAGGAGGATTTTTGCACTACCAGTTATCTCAATTGAACCCATAAATTCAGATTTCGTAGGTTAGTTTTTGAGAAAGGTCAAAAACGTTCACAAACCGTTCGAAAATTAAAAATTGAACTATTCCGAGGGCCATAATTCTATGTGTAAAAAAGTTTGGGCGTAGCCGCTTATGGTGGGAAATTTTCGAAGCCGTTTCATTCATTGAAACTGAAGACTCAGATTTTGCAGGGGTAGATTTTGAGGAAACGAAAAAAAATGGGTCAATTATTAGTTTCCTCCCGGCTAAATTGGCCGTGGACCCTGAGAAATTTGGTTCCATTATAAAGCAAGATACGAGTGATTCAGTAAAACAAATTGTTAACCCGAAAAAAGTCTATATTCCGGTTTGATAACGCTGGCTAATCGCAAACGTAAAAATAAGTTAGTTCAGATCAGTTATCTTTGACAAAATAGAAATATTTTTAACTATGAATCAAAGCTAAAGGAGCTTTACTGTAATGCCTCACTCTAGACAAGCTGGCCAAATTGCTGAGTTTCTGAAAACATTGAATGAAAAAAACACCCATTAAAACATAATTTTTCCCCATTTTTCCATTTACAGTGAAGCGACAGGAAAAGAAGATTAGCTTGCTCTGCTTTTTGGCTGCTTGAATCTACATAACATTAACCCCCCCCCTCCTTATGGTATCTACTAAAGAATTGCCATCCTTATAAATAAAAGCAGTTAACTACACTAGAGCGTTGTACTTAACATGCGAGTTTCGCTGCTTTTGGATGGGTAGAAAGTTCTACTAACTCAATCTACTTTACAATTGCCCCCTTTCTTATAAAAGGGGGGGTAACTTTTAAGTAGATCTGGCTGATCTTTACGTCCTTTAAAAAAAATTTCAACACTAGAAGAATAAATTTGGTAGACGCTGTTGTTATTCTCACGCATTGGTAGACGCTGTTGTTATTCTCACGCGTTGTCTGCTCCAGGTAAAATTAAGAACTTTTTCCCAAGTCATTTTTTATACACAAGTAATTTAACGATTTCAGAAGTGCAAACTCTTTAAAAACTTAAGAGGTTGACTTTATTTTATCATTTTGGAATGGCGTCATTACATTTGATCACGCCTAATGAACCGACGGCCTCTTAAGCTACAAAATCTGCCTTGCTCACAAATTAAGAGCACTCAATTAACAGTGAGAGAAACAAAACGCAAATTACACTTTTCATCAGCACAAATGCACATTATCTGCAAAACCTTTTCAATAGACCGCCTATTTTCTGATACCATAAACACCATACTGCTGCTGGTCACTTTGCATAAATGACAGCTAATTCATTATAAATTTTCATGACTTGACTTATAATTGAAACGAGAGAAAAATGGATCGAGCAGCTGATTAGCAATCTTTTCGTCCCAAAAGGTAAATCACAAAAAAAATTCACCAGCTGGAAGTGTATACTGGGTCTTATCAGTTAAACCCTCTAAAGCGCAGATTTAGATTTCGGAAATAAACAAACATGATTGGCTGAAAAAAATCTACTGTCAATCAAAATTAAGGGGTGAGGTATAACCCAAAAGATCCCCCATTTAAAATAATATGATATATATATTGAGTAGCCCGGGTCAATAGATGTTCCAATAAAATTTCATGTGATCCGATCAAATGAATTTGTCAAGCTTTTGACTAACTGCATTAGTGGTCTTTTCTTTACGCTCAAATAGATCGCGACGCGACCGAGCGCTGCTCTGAGTTTGACAATTTTCCCTCAAAAATGTTTGAGTAAGTTTTCACTTATAATGGACTCTGTGGGTGTTTGAAACACAAAACTTTGAAGCTTTTGATATTTTTTCTACAAAATTTTTGCTTTTTCTTTCACTTTCTTCTAAAATCCAGTCAAACCGTCCTGACGAATAGCGCAAATAAACTTAGACGCTTTTCTTTAAAAAAAACATGATGCAATCTTCTTTTTTTTAATGATGCGATGTTTTTTCTGTGTTTAGGTGGCCTGTGTTTCGCCTTCGTCTTCTAACCTGACAGAGTCCCTGAACACTTTGAGATACGCCAACAGAGCCAAGAAAATCAAAAACAAACCCTTCGTTGTTATGGTAACTTAATATATTCATTTTTATTTAGTAGGTCGCTTTTTTCTGATATTTTGTTCAAAACTTTATTTTTGTTCTGCTGACTTTTGAATAGTCATGCTCAAATTTTATTTAACTGATGTAAAAAAGCAAGATGTCATTTAAAACAAAAAACTAAATCATCAGTTTATCACCTAACCAAATCACCTGGACATCGGAAAAATAAAAGATCAGTCGTTTGAACTCTAAGAACACAGATGACGGGTCTTATTCCACCCTGAATAATTTTAGCGACGCATCGCAAAAGGGACTAATCATACGCGCGAAGAATCGAATGTGCAAAAATTGTCAACCAATTAATGCCCATGAACAGTCTGATTTTTATTACTCATTTCCTTCGAATTTTTAAATATTGGATTCTGATTAGCTGACAAGTTTTTCGTGCATTCGGTCTTTTTCCCTTGAGGGACGCCCCCGTCGCTAATTAGTTACATTGTTCCATTGTCCATGTGAACAATCCCCCCCACCATACTTATATTGTGATTCAAGTATAATTTAGCATTTGGCCAATGTGAACAATCCCCTCACAAGTAAACTATCTGCACCATCTCCAAACTCGAACTTTGCAATTGAGACCCAGAGGCGAAGCTGCACTTCGCAAAGACAAGCAAACAAAGAAGAAAAAGCAGAAATCAGCCTCGAAAAAAAAGTTATAATCGGTAATCAAACAGCGCTAGCGTGGAGATCTACAATACGTTCGCCTCGGAGGCGATCCAATAAGCAGAAGGGTCTGAGAACAAAATGGGTCCAAGGGCAGGAAAACAGAAAACTTTTGAGTTTTATTGATTTAAACGGTCTAATTGATACTAAGCAATCCTTAAAAAACCAATAATACCAAGAAAACGCATTATCTATACATGAATTGAACATTTTCATCAAGTTTTTTTTTTAATTTGATCATTTTTTTTTCAATTTAAGCATAAAATCTTCGTTTCTTCAGTAATTTTGTCAAATCTTGTTCTTAAATAACCGATTAGCTTTTAAAATTTCGTATTATTCTGTTTTTCTGCTTGTGGACGTATTCTGCTCTAGACAATTCTGCTTATTGACTGGCCACCGTTCGCTTGAAATTAGACAATTAATCGCAACCAAAAAGCAGTTAGAACAGATGCAATTAAAATGCCAATGCTATGCAGCAAAAGCGCCACCAAGTGAGCTCTTTTATTTGCGGGCTAGTTTGGAAAAATGTGACTTCGTCGACAAAAAAAACAATGAGAAAAAAAAGAAATTAATTGAAGCAAATAGAAAGAATTCAATTTCAATTTAGAGAAAGTGTATACTTGGTTTCATCGTTTGTTTGCCAATCTACTACTCACATTTGAGTGATGTTTTTCACGTCATTAGAAAGTAATTAGCATCTAATGATTTTGGTGACCGACCTTTTACGAGACCTTTTACCAGACCTTTTAACAAAAAAGTCATAACATGGACCTTGTATCAGATTCGATAAACAAATTTGATTGAGAGATGTAATGATGCCTATTAGTGTGGTTGAAGACAAGGTTTTCACGGTTTCTCAGCGAAAATTTGTTTATTCTAACCGCTTCCTTTTAGAATCTGCCACTATATTGACACTTATCTCAATTGAATTATTCCATTGTGGTCTAGTAAAAAGTCGGTCTGGTAAAATACCTAGCCCCATTCGTTTTGCTTGAGTTAGTTCACTACAATCCAAATTAATGTCAATGTATTGCAATTAATTGAAGCAAGTCTAACCTCAAATGCTATATCGATTGCCCATAGATTACCCAGTAGAGGTAATGTACCGCGACCTATTGTTGTCCGTTTTTTGTGAAAAGTAGGAATAACTGAAATATTAAAGAAAAAGAAATTGTTAGGTAATAGCGCCAGTTTGAAGAAAGTACGAACAATCGAAGATTTTCCTCTCCCATGAGTCAACTTTTTCAAGCTTGTTAACTGCGAATCGCGTATGCTTGGTCGAGGGATAGGTCAATTTTATACGCCTAGAAAAAGGATGGGAAAACATACAAAGTAACAGGGCTGTATGAAGGAAACTTACAACTGGCATACAACATCTATGACATTATGAAAAAAGTTGGGAAAAAAGTGTTTTCCCCAGCAGCAAAGCTTAGCTGACTTGTAATCATAAAAGTGCTCACAATGATGTCAATACTTTATAAATACTTAATGTAATTGTCTGTTCCCTGAGTAAAATTACGAAAACTTGGAAGCACTAGTTTATAGCTTAGAATCTCCGCCTTTAATATTTTGCTTAACAGAAACCTGGCTAAAAACGAAAATGAAAGCGAAGCTGTCCTAATACAAGGATATAAAAAGTCTTTGGCGAAAAATGGTTTAACGATAGGTAGAGGTGTAATGATTAAGGTACGAGAAAAAATAGAAATAAATGAAAATTTTGAAATTCCATTTGAGGAGTCAGTAGCAGCTGACCTTGATGCCGCAAGGTTCCGTTTTCTGCCTCTACAACAAACCGAGAACCGATTAAATGTGCTTTGTTGAAAAATTAGATAATTATCTTGAGAGCCTCATTTCGCCAGATATTCCGACAGTTACCTGCGTTGACATATATGTGGACATGTTGCGTGAAAACTTTTGAATTTTAATTTTTTTTGTACAGCATTTAGTTCGAATGGTTTTGAAATTTGCGGTAAAGAAGCGACTACAATAACGGATCTTTCAAAAACCTACTTTGATCTTTTTAAAGTCCAAAGCATTCCTAATTGCGATTTACAAGAATTTGAAAATCAAAATTTTAGTGATCGTTTTCCAGTTCTTCTTAAATGGCAATTTGATAAACAATGTCACAAAAAAGCAGAAATATAGGGATGTCGCTTTTTTGAATCATCCAGTTAAAGTGAAGCTTTATAAAGAAACTGGACAAGAAACAAGAAAAACTGGTTGAATTAATCAGCAAAATTTATTCAAGCTCAAGTGCAGATAACGTTTTTATTTGATTTTACTCTTGTTTTATGCAAGTCACGGATAACTTTGCTCCCATAAAAGACTACAATAGGGTAGAGAGTGAAAAACCAAAATGGTTCGACAAAAAATTAAAATATATTTTCTAAAGGAAACAAAGCACTCCAAAAAAGAGTTCAGGAAAACCGAAATGAAAATCTACAACACTTCAGAACTGTTTGGTCAAAATTTTAATTAGAAATAAAACACTCGAAAAAAATTTTTTGTAAATCAAAGTTTGCTGCTTGTATTGGAGGCTCAGGTCAAGCTTATTAAGTTATTGAAAGAATTGGCTGGAAAAATTGCCTATCAGAGAAAAATTCTCATGCTAAGTTCCTGTGTCCATTACAGTCGTAGTTCTCTTTCTAGCAATACAGCAGAAACTTTTAATCGGTTCTTCGCAAACGTTGGGTTAAAAGTTCAAAAAACGGTTGAGTTCTGCATACCGGTAATTCTGAACCAAAAAATGTCTTCCATATTTGTTCAAAAAGTATCAATATTGGAAGTAATTGATATTTGCTCAAGTTTATTCAAATGTTTTCATCGGGAGTGTAAGATGTACAAAACATTATCGTGAAAGTGTCAAAAATTGCAAGCGTCACTGTTTTAACTACTATTATCAATCATTTTTTGAAACAAGGAGTTTTTTAAAATTCTCTCACAATCCATAGGTTTACGACTCCATAAATAAGGATCGAAAGTCAAAGAGGATAATTTTAGACCAACTTCTCGTCTTATAGTTTGGAGTAAAAATATACAAAAGATTTGTTTTCCATCGGGTGTTTTCTCTTGCAAACAATTTGGTTTCCGTAAGAAGCATTAAACAATAGACTCGATTGACGAGCTAACTGAAAATGTCAGATTTCATCGGAAACATGCAGTATTAGTTTTGTTCCTTGTTTTGAAAAAAAAAAACAATTGATACTATTGACCACGAGTTGATATTTGAGAAACTCGAAGCTTATGGTATAGTTAACAACAAACTTAACTAGTTCAAAAACTATTTATCGAATCGTTCGCAGTGTGTCAGAATAGCGGAAGCCACAACCTCATGGCTCAAGGTTGAGTGTGGTGTGCCACAAGGGTCTACACTAGTGCCACTTTTATTTTTAATCTACACAGAACATCTGCCTCAGAGCTGTTGAAATACAGACGTTTATCTGTTTGCTGACGACACAACCAAAGCACGAATTAGTTGCCCGTCACACATTATTCATGAAGAATCAAATTCAAATTTTTTCTTGGTGAAATGCCAAGCTGAGTTTAAAAAAACTGTTAAGATATCACTAGGATCTGGTGCTTCTAACACAATGCAATTTTTTTCGTTTTTTTCAATTATTAATATTGTAAGTACTGAACTTTCATGCAAGTATTTAGGAATAACAATTGATCAAAATTTATTGTTTAATTGTCCTGTTGCCTATGTAGTACAGAGACTCGGAAAACAATGTGAAATTATTAGTAAGCTAAATCATTTTGTCCCAAGATTGCAGCTTCTCAATATTGGTGATTTTTGGCAATTGAATTGGAGTTGATCTTTTTTATTCGGTTCAAACTGTAAGATCACTTCCCTCTTTTTGTGAAAATTAATTGGTGAAACTTGACCTTTAAGTCATTAGCTCGAGCAACTTTGTGCGGGTGATTTATCATATATTTTTGATCTGAATTACTACGTGAACTATCAATCAAACCTCCTTAATTCAAGCCTTTTTAACTAACCGTTTGTCGCTGCAATAATCTTGATTGGTTATGGGTCCAGATGCCCAATCACGAGTGAGAAATCAGGAGTAAAGATTGACTGTTTGATCAAACGAATAAGAAAAAAACTCAGTTTTACAGTGCTGTTGTGACAGTGAAAAAACACAACTTGAAATTAACAACTGATCAGTTAGAGAACTGCGAGAAAAAAGCAGGCTAACGCTACTTGGAGATAGTCGATCGTTCAGATAGAGATAGATTACCCAGTATAGGAAATGGACCGCGACCTATTGTTGTCCGTTTTTTGTGAAAAGTAGGAATAACTG